ACTGACCCTAGCTAAAAAGTGCCATTGGAAGCAGCTGGCTTATACTTTCCTACATGTCTGGGATGGTTTCCCAGCAAGGCAGGTCTGTGAAGATGTTACAGAAAGCTGGGCCTGTCCTCCCGCACAAGCTGGGGAGGTTACCAGACTGGCTATTGGTAGTTTGATTTCCTGAAACACAGGGATTCTTGATGGCTTTGAGTCACAATACCTCACTGTTCTTCATGAGCCTAGCCCTACCAGAAGAGCTAAAAACCAGGGTTCACCTGTACCTATTAGAGAGGCTTTAAGAGCTCAGGTAGCCTAATGCTCTGATTATTAAGAAAGGGAACTGAAATTCACAGAAGAGAAACGATTTACATGGGCTGTGGCAAGACAGAGTTGTTTAAAAACATGAGATTATGAATTTGTGGTGACGTCATGTCTCTGAGGTAGGGGTAATTACTTAAACCTTTCCGAGCTGTAGTTTCCTTATCTGCAAAAATCATAATAATAAAGATAATAACAGTCTCTTCTTCAAAAGGCAGCTATTGAGCCCAGTACTTGACACAGGCGAAAAACTTGACAAATATTATGACAACGTTCCAGATCCTGGCTCTGAACTTACTGACTGTGGCTCCTTGAGCAAGTTACGTAAATTCTCTGTGTCTCAGTTTCCTCAAAAACTGCAAAACAAGGATAGCAATAAGACCTACCTCTTTAGATTGTTTTGAGAATTCAATGACGTCATGTAAGTAAACGTCTTGGAGTATAACAGGCAAGAAGCAAACGCCGCATAATGCTTGCTGCCAGTGATAGTAACAGCAGTAGGAGTAATGGTAGAGACAGCAGCGGTGATTGATAGTAGTGGTGTGATATAGTAGCCACAATAGTAGTAGCAGTGGGCAGTAGTAATAGTAATAGTAGTATAGTTCTGGGTACAGGCTGAGCTGGAACTAGAGCCAGGGCCCCTGCTTCCCAGACGAATTTCTTTCCATCCTAAATGGTAGCTTCAGCCCAAATGGCTACCCTGCCCCATTCAAGGTTGCCTGGCTCTTGGAAGCATCACGTGGCCCCAGATTGGTTCTTTGAGTGCTCCTTGTGCCTGGCCCTTTCTCATCTTCTCTATTAGAAAAGCAGAGATGAAAGAAGTTTCCAAATTGGGTCAAAAGTTTCCCAAGGGTCCTGGCCCCAAATTTTTCTCTCTGTTAAAGCTAACAGCAGAGTCATTTTTGTTGAATCACAATCCAATCATTTATTTAAGTCTACAAACACCTACGGAGCATCTACATAGGATCAGGCTCTGACTTATCTCAGGATCCAATTACTAAGAAAAAAATAGCCCGTGCCTTCTAATGAGGGGAGACAGACAAGGTAAAAACAGTTAAAGACAATATATAACAATAGGTGCTGAGATGCTCAGGTGAGGTACAAGGTTAGCAGACAGGCGAGGTGACGGGGATTAGGGTTAGGGTTAGGCAGAGAAGGTAACAAATACCTGAAAAGCTAAGGGTGAGCAAATGAAGTGAGGGAAAATAAAGATTGGAGTCAGGGGTTGAGATAAAATTCCAGCAAGATATGGGCTCTTTAGGTAAAGAGGAGCCTGAGCATAAAGAATCTCCTATGCCATATTTGATTACAGATATTTCATATGCACAACTCTTTTAAAAAATCAAGGACAGTTGCATAATATCAAGGGACTTATTTGCATATATGAATATGCAAATTTGGGGAAGGTTGGATCCTAATGGAATCTTAACTGGTGAGGTAAAGGTAACTTGAGCCTCTCTTGCTTGGTCAGAGCCGAAATCCAAATAGAGGATCCCAAGAGAGAGACCTTTCACAGCCTCACACATTGTCCTTACCTTCACTCCGTCTTCTCTTTCAAGGCACTGGGGAGGCAGAGAGATTGTTAAAAAGCAGTCTTCCTGAACTCCAGGATCTCACAGCTTAGTAGTAAGAAGAATAATGCAATATAGTGTGATTGGTTTGTAATTAGGGCTGAGATTGAGTCAAGAGCACCAGTACCTTCTCCAGCTGTTAAAATATTCAAATACTTTCATGCCAGTTGGTAAATAGGCCCTGTCATTACCTCACCCCACCCTAGTCAACCTAGTCAACCCTTCTCTCCCTTGGCACCTTCTGGATCTTCTCAGAATCCTGAAACTGAAAAGTGACACCTACTGCCCTTCAGTGTTAAAGCCAGTTTCCTTTGAGGTGGGGCAGTACTCACAACTAACTAGTTGTTGAATATTGTGAATGTCACCCCTGGCAGTGATGGAAGCAACTGCAATGTGTCATGGAAGCACAGAGTAAGGGCCAGACAATGTTGTCTTGTTGTCTGAGAAGGCATTAACAATAAAGGATCATTTGAGCTGGGCTTTGAAGGATGCATAGGAGCTCATTGGGTTGCAATGATTGATGGACAGGAGGGGAAAACACCACTATGTGTCAGGCACTGTCACATACTTTCCATAATTTTTGCCTCATTTGATACATAAAACAGTTATTTGAAGTAGGTGCAATTATTATCACCATTTTGAAGATGGAAAAACAGGCCCTGCGAGGTGTTAGTACCTAGGAATGTAACCAAAGTGGGAGAAAGACGAGCTGTTATGAGTTGTGGTTCATGCCTTGAAAGTTTACCCTGATTGCTGGCGTGAAGGGTGAACTGGATGATGAGGAGGGTAGATTGGATGATGGAGAGGCTCATGGCTCCAAGTATTAGCCAAGCATTTTCTCTGTGGTATGGGGCTCTCTATCAAGTCTACCATAATCAGAGAGGAAATCTAGAAGGGGGCTGATTAAGACTGGAGCTGGGCCAAAGACAATGGCAGGCTTCTTTTTCCTCCTCTTGCTTCCAGCCTGGACCAATAGTTGCTAACCCAGCGCAGACACTGAAATCAAAAATAATAATAAAAGCAGAACTCGTAGTCCATAAAAGAGGGCCTCGTGAAATTTGTAAACTGAAGAGGCAATGTGATCAAGACATGGGCTTTGGAGTAGATCTGGGCACCCTAGAGTTCTTGATCTCTCCCTGTGAGACCCTGGGTGATAAGAGTAATGCCTACTGAGCACTACTATGCATCAGATGTTTACTGAGCACGTACTGAGCACCAGGTGCTAGGCTGATTCTTCACATGTGTCATCATTATTGCATTTATTTTTATAAAGCTTTTCCATGGAGCTTCCATGAATATCTCCACTTTATAATAAGGAAACTCCAACCAAAAAAAATTAAGTAAAAGGCAGCTATTCAATAGAGAGGTTGGGGCTTGAATCTGGGGAGTCTGACCTCAGAGCCCACATGTTTAATTACATGACCTCCTCTGTGCCATTTCACATCTTTGGGCCTCAGTATCCTCATCTGTGCCTTGGGCTAATAATTTTACCTACTTACAGGATTGTTATAAGGATGGAGTAAGATAAGGTATCCATTCATTTCAAAAATAAGCACTGAGCATCTACTCTCCTGCCCTCATGTAGCTTATGCTCTATGTGAACACATTTATCCCAGTGCTTAGATCTTAACACACAATGAATGCTAGTGGCCATAATATTATTTGTTATCACAGCAGTTTTACTAAACGTATCCCAAATAACCCCAGATACGATGTTCTCCGAGTATCTCTAGGCTCAAAAAGCTGAATCCATCCAAGATCTCAGGTGAACTTCACAACAACCCCAGGAGAAAGGCAAGATGGGGATATGTTTCCCACTTTGTAGATAGGGAAAATAGGGCTGAGGAAGAATCTGTGGATGGCCCAGGCCTTCCGACCCCTGGTCCAGGTGCTTGCACATTCTCCAAAGCCTTTGAGCTCTTGCTCAACCGGAGACTCAACATGCGACATCCAATATCATCGTCATAGTTGAGAGAAGAGAGGAACCAAAGCACGGAAGGTGGATGAGATGAGATTTGGGGACTGTCTGGGCCATTGGTTTTGTTTGGTTTTGTTTCATTTAATGGGAGGTGACATGGCTTTGTCAACTTTTACTTTTGCTAAGGAAGGACAGAAAAAAGGAAACTACTATTTTCTATCACTAAAGGGAGATTTTACCACCAGAAATAGGAAAAACACGACCTTGGAAACAAAAATGAGTCTTTAAATCTAAAGCATTTAGCAGGATGAAAAACTAATTACATTGAACTTATTTTTTCTCGTTTCAATTTGGGCTGGTGAAAAATGTGTCTAAATGGATCCAGGTGGGGATTTCTGAGAACAGGTTGGCAGGGGGTCCTCAGGAGAGGCTTTGAAGAAAGGATGAGCCTGAATCTGTCATTCCTTTCTGGCTCCTGCTTAAGGGAAATAAGGAGGCCAGACCACCTCTCCCTACCAAAGGTTCAATGCAGTACACAGCCCCATGGGATAGCCCCAACCCTAAAGGACTTTGTCATCTTCCCACAATGCTCGGCGTGTCTCCCTTGTCTTTCTCCATCTCCTCCTCCTCCCAAATGAACTCCCACCAGGTCAATGAATCCATTCTTTTGCTGTCTTCCTAATTAGTGCACTAAGGAAGATGAACAACAGAAAGGGAAATAAACTTAATGTCTTTGTGAAACAAAAGCCTTTTTTTTTTTTAAAGGAATAACTAGAACCCTCTAGCTAAAAGCTCTGCCATACAGTTCCATACTCACATGAGAATTTCCAGTCCCCCATATGGCAGGGAAGAAAAAAAATTTATAGCCATCTCTCTCCATGGGGCCATTTGAAGCTCAGTAAATGGACTTGTTCAGTTTAATTGGAATTCTCTTCTTGATTGTATTTTTGTAAACTATTAGGCTGTGCTGCCTCTTGATCTCGGAATTCAGCTGAAATTAAATTTTGAAGTGTAAGTGAGAGGTTGCCTTTTTTTCTCCGTTCTTGATTAAATAATGATTTGAAACAAAAACAATAAATAACAGTGCCGGCTTCCCTGAGGGCTGAGAGAGACTCCCAGTGAAACGCCAGGGAGCTGGAGTTCATGGTGGGGGGATTTAATTACTTTTAGAAAAACCTGAGTGTGAACACTGAGTATATTAAATAAGAAGGAGATGAGGCGAGCTTTGGAGTCGAGAGAGAGAGGGACGAGAAACTGGAGCTTCACATTGGAGGGGGTTGACGGAATAAAAAGGAAACTATTTGCTCACTTCCCCCCAGTGGCCTTGAGTTTAGGAAAACCATTTTGTATTTAAAAGTTTTTAATGAAATTTTTTAAAAATCTGAGATTGACTACCATGACCCAGAAAGGAAGAGTTTATAATAGTTCTGAGGTCTGGATGTTGTTTGACGGATGTGGTCTCCCGGTTCCTTTCATTGACGAAAGTCCAACAGGAATTAAACAGGTGGAGATGGGAGAGGTGGAGCAATCCGCTTCACAGATCTGGGAGGAAGAGATGAAACATACAAGATGTACCGGGTTTATGTTACTTACAGAGGGATCAGAGTAGCAACAAACTTTTAGAACAGAGGGTCTCCAACTTAGATGTCTTGGTGGCCAGGCAGCTAATAGATGTGAGTAATGATGACCTCTTGGGGTTTGGGGTCAGGAGAACTCTTGCCCCATCTAAAAGGGGCAGCTGTAATTGCTCTCAGCCAATTCTTGCCAGGCAGGGATATAGGCCCAATGTTGCCAGATCTTATTTTTCAACAGAAACTGGAAATGGGGTTGTTATGCAAAACCTCCCCATTCTACCAATGTTGGCAGTTAATTCAAATTTACTTCCCGACATCCTAAGTGGGCTGAAGAAAGCATATCTGAAACAAAGCATAACTCAGCTCACCAGTTTTCCAGTGTTGATCTGGGGTATTGAAGCAGATAGAGTCCATGTATAGATCCTCACCCTCAGCACTTTGGGGCTCATGGCTGACTTCCAGGTTCCAGATGGTATTCTCTGCTGCCAAAACCTATTTTCTCTGCCTGTTTGGCAGTCTGGACGTACTAGAGAATTTATGCTCCAGTGTTCAGCCTTCAACCTGTGAGTGATGGGAACTGGTGTATAATTATCCCAGCTCCCTCACTCCTTGGTTGGGGTTAACTCTGCGGTGCATGTTCTACACTGATTCCCACGGTGTCTTCACTGGGATTAAGCATCAGCTGCCCACTGTAATAGCTGGTTTGATAATGCATCTTTTATTGGCTCGCTCTCCCCTCTACATCATTTACACTCTCCACTACAGAGGTTCCTTTCCCTCTCAAATTATTAGCACCTATTTTCCATCTCGATTTCTAAGAATCCAGTTTAGACAGGCATTATTTCACTTGGTCATTAAGTCCATCTTATAGGAGCTGGATTTTCATGCCATACCCTTAAAGTAGGCTTTTATGTAGCCATCACAGAGGGTGAGGGCTGAGATGGAAGAAGAGGTAAAATTGGACCAAAGAAGAGAATGCTGGTGTGAGGACTCCAGGTCTTCAAGGGGGGTCTTGGGTATCCGAAGGGGATTATTACCAGATGACAGAGGACCTGAAGAGGTGATAGGACACCTGGAGGACAGATAAATTGGTTCTTGCTAACAAGTGTCTCAGGGACAGAAAGCAGTTATGTGCACAGAGAGAAACTCCCAAGGCATGAAGAGTTCTTCAAAGATTAATTAGGAGAGGTCTGTTACATAAATAAGGAGGCAGAAAGAAGCAAAGGAGAACCATCCTGTTGTATCAATGTCAGAAGGGGCTGACTGTACCTTATGCCAGAGAGAGTAGCTGATAGCATGGCAATATACCCAGGGATGGGAGGGCAGAGGCAAGGTCATGAGAGGCCCCATTATCAGCCTATCAGACATTCACAACTTTAAAGCCTCCTCTGCATTTTCTTGATCATAACTCTCCCAACACAAACCCATCCTACCTTGGGCTTCCCTCAATTATGTCTTCCTTCCTCCTCTTCATGTGGAGTGAACGGAGAGCTCTGGAGAAGGTGGAGTCTGAGGTTTAGGAGACCATTAAACTATCAGAACATCTCTGATGATGACTTGTTGAAAGTGCTCCTGCCCCCTGGAAGGGTAAACAGAGCCCATCAAGACATGTAAAGACAATACCAAGTAGAATTCAGCTGAAAAGAAGCAGGAATGAATGTCTTCAGGTTGCCACCTCCTCTGCCAGAGGAATCCTCTAAGCAGGCCAAATGGAGTGAGACAATTGACAAACTCCAGATGTACTTGCTAGGGACATGACATCACGCTGGTTGTGCCCTTTGAGAGGATGACCAGCATAGAGAGCAACTGGGAGATCAAAAACCCCCTGCTCTCCATTCGCCAAGCTCTAAATACTGATGCAGGACTGCCTCAACCCAGAAAAAGGTGTACTATCTATTTTCTCATCTGTCTGGCCACCTTTTTCTAATTGTTGATCCATCAGGAGCACCTTTTTTTTTTCCTTTAAAAATTTAATTATGGGCTGGGCATGGTGGCTCACACCTGTAATCACTTTGGGAGGCCGAGGAGGGTGGATCACCTGAGGTCAGGAGTTCGAGACCAGCCTGACCAACACGGAGGAACCCCATCTCTGCTAAAAATACAAAATTAGCTGGGTGTGGTGGTGCATGCCTATAATCCAAGCTACTCAGCAGGCTGAGGCAGGAGAATCGCTTGAACTCAGGAAGCAGAAGTTGCAGTGAGCCGAGATTGCTCCATTGCACTCTAGCCTGGGTGACAGAGCAAGCAAGACTCCGTCTCAAAAATTAAAAAAAAAAAATAAGTATTACGGCTACATAATAGTTGTATATATTTACAGGGTATATGTGATGTTTTGATACAGGCATACGATGTATAAGGATTAAGGATCAAATCAGAGTAATTGCGCTTCCATCACCTCAAGCATGTATCATTCCTTTGTGTTAGAAACATTCTAATTCACTCTTTATGTTATTTTAAAATATAAGATAAATTGTTGTTAACTCTGCCGGGTTCAGTGGCTCAGACTTGGAATCCCAGCACTTTGGGAGGTAGAAGCAGAGCAGATCATCTGAGGTCAGGAGTTTGAAACCAGCTTGGCCACCATGGCGAAACCCTGTCTCTACTAAAAATCCAAAAAAATTAGCTGGTGTGGTAGTGGGCACCTGCCATCCCAGCTACTTGGGAGGCTGAAACAGGAGAATTGCTTCAACCCGGGAGGCGGAGGTTGCAGTGAGATGAGATCCATGCCATTACACTCCAGCCTGGGCGACAGAGCAAGACTCTGTCTCAAAAAAGGAAAAAAAAAAAAAAAAAAAAAAAAAAAAAAAAAATATATATATATATATATATATATATATATATATATATATATATATATAAAATTATGGTCGTCCTGTTGTACTGCTACCAAATACTAGAGCTCATTTATTCTCTCTATCTGTATTTTTGTACCCATTAACCATCCCTACTTTGTACTCCACTTCCCACTACCCTTCCCAGTCTCTAGTAACCATCATTCCACTCTGGAGGAGCACCTTTTCCTAGTAGGAACAAAGTCCCTGTGCAGGCTGGCAGCCTTGCTGCATGCATGACCGAACCCAGTCCGTCTTTGAACTTGCACCCACAGTAGCAGAGAGTGGAATAAAAAGAAGACCCAGCACAGCTTGTTTCATCTGGAAGGCTTTGCAGGTCTAAAATGTCTCACCTGAAGCCTGGAGCTTATGCTGTTGAGAATCTGTAGTGAGCCTCTGCGTGCTTTCTCTCAGAGTCCTGGGTCTAAGGAGTATCAGGGGGAATAAGAGAAAGAGCAGAGGGCATTCTTTCTCTCTGCCAGGGGTCTGGACCTCAAACTTTCTTCTAAGACCTAGTGTTTGATAGCACAGTAGAGTGACTTTAGTAAACAATCATCTGTTGACATTTTAAAGTAACTAGAAGAGAATAATTTTTTTTTGGCTCAGGCTGGAGTGTGGTGGTGTAATCTTGGTTCACTGTAGCCTCCACCTTCCAGGTTCAAGTGACTCTCCCACCTCAGCCTCTCAAGTAGCTGGGACTACAGGCATACACCACCACACTTGGCTAATTTTTGTATTTTTTGTTAGAGACAGGGATTCACCATGTTGGCCAGTCTGGTCTCAAATTCCTGACCTCAAGTAATACCAACACTTCAGACCCCCAAAATGTTGGTATTACAGGCATAATCCACCATGCCCGTCCTTAGAAGAGAATAATTTTAATGCTCCCAGAATAAAGAACAGATACATGTTTAAGGTAATAGATACCTCTATTATTCTGTCTGATCATTATACATTATGAGAATGTATCAAAATATCACATACATTGTAAAAATATGTATATCGATTATGTATCAATAAAAATAAATATTTGATTCTAGAGGTTTTCTTGAGCTCACACACCCAGCCAAGCTGGTCTTGAGACCCCAAGCTTCAGCCAGGGATCTCCAAGTTTCCTAGAACGATTCTCAGTGTGATGGAGCCTGGTTTCTTCTCAAATTCTCAAAGTTGGCAGACACCCAGCTGGATCCACCAGAGCCTGATCACCCAGCCATCTCTACAATAACTTAAGCCAGGCAGGCCCACAGAGGCTTCCAAGGGACTGGAGAGCAAACTTGTTCATTAGACAAAATTTACTGAGTGCCTACTCTATGCCAGGCACTGGTGAATGCTGGGGTGCAACATAGAACCAGTCATGACCCTGCCCTCAGCAAGCTCCCCACCCAGTTGGAGAGACAGCCAATAAAATAAGCAACTACTCCACTGAGGAACAGGGATGTGGCAAACAAATGACACTCATTTTTGAATAATGAGTAAGTTCAAGATTGAATGAATGAATGAAGTACAGAGTATTGTGCTATCCTGGTCTAGAGGATGAGAGAAGGCTTTCTAGAAGAGGTGATAGGACACCTGGAGGACAGATAAATTCAGCCATGTGAAGTAGGGAAGAGAGGAGTATTCTAGGCAGAGGAAATGGCATGTGCAAATGGCCTGGGGTTAGGAAAACAAGACGGGATGGCAGAACCAAGAAAACTCGAATCTGAATCAGTCAGCTTAGGTTGTTGGGGTGGGGGTAGGATGGTGTGGAGGAGATACTATTTGTGAAGTATGCAGGGCTGGGGTGTAAAAAAAAAACACTGTCATCCATGTCAGAGAGTTTAGATCCATTTTAAACAATGGGATTCTTAAACATGCAGGAGAGGTTGGTATTTTTAGGCATCAAGTTTAACCCAATGAGAACATTTCAGTAGTGCCTTTATCTCTGTTTTCTGGTGATGATGAAAAAAACATGATGCCTTGTGGATTTCTTAGTTCTAACCACACAAGTTACATGTGGAAAAGTCATAGCCAGGTGGTGACACTCTGAAGGTATCCCTGTGAGCTCAGGGTGTGGGGTTGAGAAAATGCACAAGGCCAGATGCCCTTCTATATCCACTAGCCCAGAGGGGCCTTGCCTATGAGGATCCATGGTGCACTAGGAAAAATGAAATTCGTAGTCAAGAGTAGGAACAAATACCTGGGAGAGAAAAGCCCAGCCTGGCATCCCCCAGGTAGCAAACCACAAGACAATGAAAATTGCTGAACTCACAGGCCCCTGCCCTTGAGTTCTTCCAGCCTAGTTCCCTCCAAGACTGGCTTGCCAGATTCACTTGTAATACACTGGCTACCAACAATTGACCATCTCTGGGGCAAAGATTCCATGATCCCATCCCTGGACCAAGCCCAAGCCAGAGATCACAGATCTAGTTACCTGGCATGATGCATTCCAGACAGAGTGATGGAGGTACACCTGTTGCCATTGAACTCCAGAGTTGAGAAAGATGTGGCATCCAAAATGCAAAACAAAAAGACAAATAAATAGGAGGACTGAATGGGAACAGGGCCTTTACATTATTGTTTTAAAAGTCTTAACTCTAGAAAACTCCACCAGAACAACCTTATTTTGAGGTCCCTTCTCCCAAAGAAAAGCTATCCAGGGTGCCAAGCAGGTAAAGTGGCAGCTGTGCTGGACAGAACTTGCTAAAGATAGGCTATCACCTTGCCTGTGTGCAAAGCCTCCTGGGAGAATCTGTAAAGGAAGCCCGGCCTCCCCAGCTCCAGGAGCTGACATCCTGAGCCCTGGAGTTATGCTATTCTCACAGTTCCATTGTCTCTGTGTTTTACCCTCATGACCAATTGCTGAGAAGGCAGAAATGGTTCTTAAGAAATTCCAGAAGTGCCCCCTCCTTTAGAGCCAAGATGCATAAGATAAAATTTGGGGGAAGAGTGGCTTTTTATGGCGAAACCTGCCCTAACATTTGTGGGGTCAGGGCAAAGATACAGAAGAAGGTCTATATGCTAGAGGTTTAAATGTTTATAAATAAGTCCACAAACTTAAACAAAATGTGTTCATTTATCTTGGCAAACATACCTTCAGAATGATCTGGAATTCAGTTATGAAATTAGAATCTTGGACCTGGAACCAAGACCTGGACTTAGAATCTTGGACCTGGAACCTTTCGGAGTGCCAGGCTGTGACATGGCAGTGTGGGGAGAATCTGGCCCTGGAACCATCCCTTTCTCTCCCTGCCTCTGGCACATCCAACACCATGACGGGGCTTGCACACATGCATACAGACCCCTCAGCCTGAGCATCCAAGTTCTATCCAAATAGCTACCCTTGGACCTAGGAGTGTGCACACTCAAAGCATGGTCTACCTGCGGGAGAATGGGTCCATGGATGAGGCCTACAGAGACGTGGAAAGGGGCATAGGAACCATTTAAACAGAGAATTCTGGGATTTCAGGTACCCAGAGAGTGGTTGAGGCAGGCAGTAGTTTTAAGAGGGTGCCTTCTTGGACTCCAGATTTCTCATCCCTTAGGGATGACTGTCTCTGGAGGAGGCCCATGGCAGGGGTCCCTTCTATCCACAGCTAAGCGCTAGCAGAGGCCAGCATCAAACTTACTGTGTCATCCCAGCCACGACAGGTCCGAACGTTTAAAGAAAACCCCCCATCATGCTTCTAAAGGCGTGCCCACCTTCCCAAGTGCTGGCTTTCCATCACCTCCCTTACTCCTTCATCAGTCCTAGATCAGCCCTAGACAGGGTTCTGAGGGCCTGTCTTTATTCCCAGTCACCCCAAAGCCCAATCTCCAAGCCCTCCAAGCCTTCCAAAGCCCTCTGTTGCAAGCGCATCCTCCCTCCCTCGTGTCCCCTCCATTTCACACCTAGGTAGTCGATGCAATACTCTAGCCGCCATTCGCATTATTCCACAAGGGTTTCCTGCCCCAACTTGGGCCCTAAGGGATTGATTAGGTTGACTATGTTAGGTCCCCTTTATGACAAAACCAAACAGAATTGATGCCCCCACCTGTCAAGGGCACTAAAAAAAAAACAAAACTCAAAGTTCAGGGCCGAGTTTGAGGATGTGCAGAAAGGTGTGTGTTTTTTCTTGTCAATTGCGACTCTAATGATGGACTCACGTTGCCCGCTCTTCCCTTTCTCTTACACCTTACCTACGTACTAAAGGAGGAGTTCTTGCTTGGTAAGTGGATATAATCCGCAAAGACATGAGAGAATTTATTAGAAGCCACTCAAGAGCCTTAGCTACCTTCTACAAGGGGAAAAGGACACACACGAATATCTATAGAGATCTTTTTTTTCGTTTGTTTTTGATCAGACTATTTGACTTCCATTTTTTTTGTCCCCTCCTTTCTTTTCCCCTTTAGTTGAAAACTGCTAAAATGTCAGTTTGTGACCTTGACTTTATATTTAAAAACAAAAACAAAAAAACTCTCATCTTTATTTCATTTCTTTTCCCCATGTGATATTTGTTTAGGGTTCTATTCAGGCAACTTTTTCTTTTCAAAAGAAAAAAAAATTGTTAAATTAATTGAGGATTTGGTTGAAGTTTAAAATTTTGGCTTTATCTCCTTTTATGTTTAATTTCCAAGATATATTTTTTCAGGCCCATAGTTCCATTTCTTTTTCCCCTCCCCCTTCCTTTATTTTTTATTATTGTTTTAGGTTGAGTTAAGGGTGTTTACACCCCCTTTCTATTGAGTTGACTCTTTTGTTTAATTCATTAGAAATTAAATTTTGTATAATTTCCTTTTTCTTTTGTTTAATCTGAATCGCATGCTTTTTCTCTGCATGATACCTAAATCTTCCAGTTATCCTAGCAGGGGGTAAAAAAAAGAAATCTCCTTTCTGTGGTATTCTTTCAGGAGTTTGTGCTTTTGTTTTTTGGCGTCTCTTCTCTCCTCTCCTCTCTCTCTTTCCTTTCGTTACAGTGCATCATGACGGTAAACATTTCTTGGTTATTTAGACAGCCCATGGGCCCAGCACTCAGCAGTGTCCAACGGGTCTTTTTGCTTTCAGATCACTGGGTCGGGGTCTGCTGCTGACCTCTTTACCAAAACAGCCAGCCCGCTCACCACCTCGCGAGGACGTTCCCAGGAGTACGACTCAGGCAACGACACGTCCTCGCCACCTTCCACACAAACCAGCTCAGCCAGGTCTCGGGGCCAGGAGAAGGGGAGCCCCAGTGGGGGCTTGAGCAAGAGCCAGGAGCTCAACAGTGGCAACACCTCTGATTCAGGGAACTCCTTCACCACCTCCTCACCCCAGAACAAGGGGGCCATGGTGGAGAATCTCTCTCCCACCAGCAAGGGCAGAGAGTCAAGGTCAGTGAACTGCATGGGGTCGGGGGTAGGGGGTCTCCCACCTATGTCCACCTTCTCACTGTCTCATCCCAGCCTCCCCCACTCTACCCCCAAGATTCTTGTATTTGCCAGAGAGAGAAAACTCAACTCAGATTGGCTTAATTGTTTTAAAACGCTAGTGGAACTAGCTTCAGGTACAGCTGGATTCAGAGGCTCAAAAATATGCTGCTGGAAATCTGTCTTTCTCTTTATATCTCTTATTGTGCTTCCTCATTCTGTTGATCTTATTCTCAAGCAGATCCTCCCAAAGCATTGTCAAATATGCCAAGCAGGTAACATTCTATCGCTTTAGCCAACCAACAGGAGAACAATGCTTCTTTCTCAAAGATTTCAGCGACACACCAGGGCAAGTGCTCATTGGTTCTATTTGGCCCAGCTTAGGTCGTCTGCCCATCCATGGCCCAGAGGATGCTCTTGGCCAGAATGTGTCACATGCCATCACTAAGGCTAATGAGTAGAAACTTCTCACATTCCTCTACAGGAAAAGCCAGGGTATTGGTATCAGGAGAGATGGAGGGTAGGCAGGCAAAAAAAGATGTCAGTTTTACCAATAATCTTAGAAGAAAGGCTAACCTTGGCCAGGCACGGTGACTCAAGCCTGTAATCCCCCACCACTTTGGGAGGTCAGGAGTTTGAGACCAGCCTGACCTACATGGAGAAACCCCATCTCTACTAAAAATACAAATTAGCCGCGGATGGTGGCACATGCCTGTAATCCCAACCATTCCATGGGAGGCTGAGGCAGGAGAATCGTTTAAACTTGGGAGGCGAAGGTTGCTGTGAGCTGAGATCAAGCCATTGCCCTCCAGCCTGGGTAACGAGCAAAACTCCGTTTTAAAAGAAAAAGAAAGAAAGTCTAACATTAAATTCATCATAAGTCACTGCCATTTAAGAACATATCACAGTATTTACCCAAATGAATTGAAAACTTATCTCTACATAAAAACCTGCACTTGGGTGTTATAACGGCTTTATTCATACTTGCTAAAACTTGGAAGCAACCAGGATATCCTTCAGGAGCTGAGTGAATACATGAATTGTGATACATCCAGACAATGGAATGCCATTCAGTGCTCAGGGGATATGAGCTATGAAAAGACGTGGAGGAAACATAAATGCATACAAGTGAAAGAAGCCAACGTGAAAAGCTGACACTCTGCATGGCTCTAACTGTATGACATTCTGGAAAAGTCAAAACTATGGAGAAAGTAAAATGACAAGTGGTTGCCAGAGGGTGAGGGGAGGGAGGGATGAATAGGCAGAGCACAGAGGACTTTTAGGGCAGTGGAACTACTCTGCATGATACTACAATGGTGGATAACTGTCATTATACGTTTGTCCAAATCCATAGAATGTATAACACCGACAGGGAACTCTGATGTAACCTACAGACTCTGGGTGATGATGATGTGTCAGCAGAGGTTTACTGATCGTAGCAAATGGACCACACTGGTGGGGGATGCTGATGGTGGGGGATGCTGATAATGGGGAATGAGTCTGTGCCTGCATAGGAGCAAGCAGTCTATGGTAACTCCCTGTACTTTCCACTCAATTGTGCTATGAATCTAAAACTGCTCTAAAAATGAAAACTTGCCAATTATAGATATAGATACACCATCGTACAATTTATCAACGTATCAGAGAACGTGGAGACTTGTCAACTTTTTTGCCCATCTTAACACACTCACTAGCTGCAGTTTTTCTGCAGAAAGCACTTCCATACAGTCGCTGATGAGCCAGTTGTAATTCCACTTCATCACCCACTTACTCTCAAGAAATCACAGCAAAATGCTAATCACTGAGGGTACTGTCATCACAACAGCTACTAAAATTTACCGATCACTTAGTCTGTACCATTCATTCTGTTCTTTATGCCTCTACTTGTTTATCAAGCAAGTCCTTTACGCCAGACACTCAGCTTGGTGCTGGGGATATAAAAAATTGAATGGTCCTTTTTCTCAGGAGCTTATAATTAGTGGGGCAGATGCATAGTTTGCAGGAGGGGTGGAAAAGCCTCGCTGCTGCCCTCTTCCATGCTAACAGTGAGGTTTTTCTACTTCTGAAGGTGGGAGCTCGCCTTTGTTCTATGTAGCCAAGATTTTCAAAAGATGGCTAAAGCCTTAGGACTGAAGCAGTTAACAGCTTCTTCAAAGATAGAGCACTTTTTGTCCCTAACACATACCCCACTTCAGTCCTGGACAAACAGCTTAACATCGACATGCAGCACTGGCTGCCCATTTGCCAGGCCCAGGACATCCCTGGCCTCAGCTCACACCCAAGCTTGGCTGAGAACCTGAGCTGGGCCAGAGCAAATGTCCATGTCTCCAAGAACAGGCAGTGAAGTTCCCAGAAGGGAGCAGGAGGACACGTGTAGACTGATATGCTGCAGTGCTATTATGCAGGAAAAAGTGCAGTAGCAATAACAACAACAATAACAGCAGTTCATATTCGTTGAGCCCTAATCACATGCTAAGTACCATGCCAAATGCTTTCCAAAAATAATCTTCCTGAGCACCTCAAAACCTTTATGGTATAGTTACTATTTGTAACCCTTTTTTGCCTGATGGGGAAACTGAGGCTCGGAGTGGTTGAGAAACTCAGTTATAAGTGGCAGCACCAGGATTCAAATACAAATATGTCCCCAGAAGAGTGACTAAAGCCTGGGAGACATCTAGCAGTTACCTGTTTAATTTGATCTCCATGGACAGCCAAATTAAATAATTTACACCCAGCCTTTCACTTTGAAATACCAATGATGGTTAAGTCCGCGGCTATTTATGTCATGCTCAATAAATATGGGCTGAGTGGAAGAGACACCACTCTAAATCAAAGGAACCATAGACACTGAAGATAGGGAGCTGGTGGGGTGGGAGGGGTGTGGTGTGGGTTCTGGAGCTGGACAGATCAGGGTTTGGGACTCTGGGTGGTGTTCAGCAAATGACAAACCCCTCTGAGACATCTCTGTACATTTGGGGGTAATAATAGCATCAGCTTCAGAAGGTTGTTGGGAATGAAATAATACTTGTGAAATGCTCAGAAAATTAAAAAGATCCCAGAGAGCTGTCCCCATGGAGCTCAGTATCTGGGACAGAAGAGACAGCCTACAAGTATAAGACTAAGTAAGCCAAATAGGGATTGGGGAAACATAGGAACTAAGGTCTATGGTAACACACTGGAAATCGCCCAACCCAGACAGGGGGCAGGGGGTGTCAAGGAAGGTTTTCCAGAAAGGGTGAGGTCAAACTAAAGCTAGAACCATGAGTAGGAGTTGCCAGATGAAGAGGGAAGACAAGAAGGTTGCAGACAGCCAGAATGCTCTAAGACCTGGAGACAAGGAAGAGAATAGGGATATTTCAGGAGGAACAAGTCAGTCTATTACAGCTGGAGCCAGGAGAGGAAAGAGTCAAGAGCTGTAATTGGAGGGGCGAGCAGGGGCCAGGCCATCCTGAGCCTTGAAAACCATATTAATGTGATTTGAACTTGATTACAGGCCCAATCCAAATAAATATGCCTTCACTGAGAACCTAACAGGAGGTCAGTCTGGCCCCAGGCAGTGTGGGAATACAGAAGACAGCAGTCTATCTTTTGGATAATTCTGAAGCCTCTGTCTTTTGTGGGGGTGGGGGGGGTCTCAATTCCTCCATCTGCAAAATGGGTTACATCAAAGTTTCCCAAAACTAAACCAACAATAGGTCATCTTGATTTTTACCATATCCGTGTACAACTGATATTCCTGTTTACTTTTATAAACTCATTTTTTAATGTGTAAGTAAAGGGAAATTTGCAGTACTACCTTAAATAGAAAATTAGAATCAAATGTCCTTGGACGGGAGCTCACTTCTGTAATCCCAGCATTTTGGGAGGCCAGGGTGGGTAGATCACTTGAGGTCAGGAATTCAAGACGAGTCTGGCCAACATGGTGAAACCCCTGTCTCTACTAAAAATATGAAAATTAGCTAGGAGTGGTGGCACACACCTGTAATATCAGCTTCTCGGGAGGCTGAGACCGGAGAATTGCTTGAACCCGGAAATCGGAAGTTGCAGTGAGCCCAGATGGCGCCATTACCCTTCAGCCTGGGAGACAGAGCAAGACTCCATCTCAAAAATAATAATAATATGTTCTAAATGAAAGATACCTATAAAAATATAGATGATTGCTGGGCGTGGTGGCTCACACCTGTAATTCTAGCACTTTGGGAGGCTGAGGTAGGTGGATCATGAGGTCAGGAACTCAAGACCAGCCTGGTTAAGATGGAGAAACCCCATCTCTACTAAAAATACAAAAATTAGTTGGGCAAGGTGGCAGGTGCCTGAAATTCCGGTGAGCCAAGATTGCACCACTGCACTCCAGCCTGGTTAGAAATTGAAAATTTTCTTAATTTCTCAATTAAGAAAACAATATGGATAATTGAAACAATGGATTTAATCCTACTAATTGCAGTTGCCTACCCAAGGCTGAGTCTGAGGTGTGCGCCTCTCTCTTGGAGAGATTACAAAATGTTAGAGAGGTGTTACAAACTGACTAGCACCCAACGGGGGCTTTCTCATTAACTTAATCAGAAGGACAGAAAGAGACTAGACAGGGAATAAGTCTCTCACCATGTGATTGGATGTTAGTTAGCAGCATGCCCATGCCTGATGACACCCTAAAATACTCCATTGTTACAC